TGTCTTCTTTCAAGATCATTTCAGTTTGAGCAGATAATTAACATGTGGCCCAATCAGGACTCACAGCTTCCAATACTAATTCAGCCACAGAATCTTAGAGCTAGAGGGCCCTCAACAATCATTTCCTCTTCTTTCCTCCATTTTATTTTACAGATAAGGAAACCGGGCTCACTGCCAAGGCACACAACCAATTATTGGCAATGACAGGACTAAGACTGTGTTCTCTGATATCTTTCTACCACACTACCCCATCAGTGGCAAATAAGAAAACACTCAAAGGCCAATACACATGTACAGTTAAAATATTTCACAGGACACGTCAAAATGGATGCCAGGCATATAATTGAGACACAGTAGCCATAGTTTGTTAGTAGTATTGCATTAGGACATGTAAAAGTTTATATCTGATCAGTTATTATTACAAGTTGTTGTGGTTGTTCAGTCATAAGTCGTGTCCGACTCTTTGTGACCTCATGGACCCGCCAGGCTCCTCTGTCCATGAGGTTCTCCAAGCAAGAATACTGGAGTGGGTTGCCATTTCCTTCTCCAGGGGATCTTTCCACATCAGCGATCTAGCCTGTGTCTCCTGAATTGGCAGGCAGATTCTTTACCACTGAGCCACCAGTTTTTATTTCTGTATATGAGTTATTAAGTCATGTCTGACTCTTTGCAACTGCATGGACTGCAGCACGCCAGGCTCTTCTGTCCTCCACTATCTCTCTGAGTTTGCTCAAACTCATGTCCATTGAGTCAGTGATGCTATCTAACCATCTCATTCTCTGTCGCCCCCTTCTTCTCTTGCCTTCAATCTTTCCCAACATCAGGGTCTTTTCCAATGAGTTGGCTCTTCGCATCACATGGCCAAAGTATTGGAGTTTCAGCTTCAGCATCAGTCCTGCCAATGAATATTCAGGGTTGATTTCGTTTAGGATTGACTCGTTTGATATCCTTGCAGCCCAAGGGACTCTCAAGAGTCTTCTCCAGCACCACAGTTCAAAAGCATCAATTCTTTGGCGCTCAGCCTTCTTTATGGTCCAACTCTCACATCCATACATGACTACTGGAAAAACCATAGCTTGGACTAGACGGATCTTTGTTGGCAAAGTGATGTCTCTGCTTTTTAATATTCTGTCTAGGTTTGTCATAGCTTTCCTTCCAAGGAGCAAGCGTCGTTTAATTTCATGGCTGCAATCACCATCTGCAGTGATTTTGGAGCCCAAGAAAATAAAATCGGTCACTGCTTCTACTTTTTCTCCTTCTATTTCCCATGAAGTGATGGGACAAGATGCCATGATCTTAGTTTTTTTAATGTTGAGTTTCAGGCCAGCTTTTTCACTCTCCTCTTTCACCCTCATCAAGAGGCTCTTTAGTTCCTCTTCACTTTCTGCCATTAGGATGGTGTCATCTGCATATCTGAGGTTGTTGATATTTCTCCCAGCAATCTTTATTCCAGCTTGTGCTTCTTCCAGCCCAGCGTTTCTCATGATGTACTCTGCATATAAGTTAAATAAGCAGGGTGACAATATACAGCCTTGACGTACTCCTTTCCCAATTTGGAACCAGTCTGTTGTTCCATGTCTGGTTCTAACTGTTGCTTCTTGACCTGCATACAGGTTTCTCAGGAGACAGGTAAGGTGATCTGGTATTCCCATCTCTTTAAGAATTTTCCACAGTTTGTTGTGATCCATAGAGTCAAGGGTTTTAGCATAGTCAATGAAGCAAAAGTAGATGTCTTTCTGGAACTCCCTTGCTTTCTCCATGATCCAACGAATGTTGGCAATTTGATCTCTGGTTCCTCTGCCTTTTCTAAACCCAGCTTGTACATCTGGAAGTTCTTGATTCATGTACTGCTGAAGCCTAGCTTGAAGGATTTTGAGCATAACCTTGCTAGCATGTGAAATGAGCGCAACAATACGGTAGTCTGAGCACTCTTTGGCATTGCGCTTCTTTGGGATTGGAATGAAAACTGACCTTTTCCAGTCCTGTGGCCACTGCTGAGTTTTCCAGATTTGGTGACATATTGCATGCAGCACTTTCACAGCATCATCTTTAAGGATTTGAAATAGTTCAACTGGAATTCCATCATCTCCACTAGCTTTGTTTGTAGTAATGTTTCCTAGGGCCCACTTGACTTCACAGTCCAGAATGTCTGGTTCTAGGTGAGTGACCACACCATCTTGGTTATCTGGATCATTAAGACCTTTTTTGTATAGTTCTTCAGTGTATTTTTGCCACCTCTTCTTAATCTGTTCTGCTTCTCTTAGGTCTTTACCGTTTCTGTCATTTATTGTGTCCATCCTTGCATGAAATGTTTCCTTGATAGCTCCAATTTTCTTGAAGAGATCTCTAGTCTTTCCCTTTCTATTGTTTTCCTCTATTTCTTTGCACTGTTCATTTAAGTAGGCCTTCTTATCTCTCCTCGCTAGTCTCTGGAACTCTGCATTTAGTTGGGTATAGCTTCCCTTTTCTCCTTTGCCTTTAGCTTCTCTTCTTTTCTCAGCTATTTGTAAGGCCTTGTTAGACAACCACTTTGCCTTCTTGAATTTCTTTTCCTTTGGGAAGTTTTTTGTCACTGCCTCCTGTACAATCTTACGAACCTCTATCCATAGTTCTTCAGGCACTCTGTCTATCAGATCTAATTCCTTGAAACTTTTAGTCACCTCCACTGTATAATCATAAGGGATTTGACTTATGTTATACCTGGATGGCCTAGTGGTTTTCCCTACTTTCTTCAATTTAAGCCTGAATTTTGCAATGAGGAGCTTATGATCTGAGCCACAGGCAGCTCCCGGTCTTGTTTTTGCTGACTGCATAGAGCTTTTCCATCTTTGGCTGCAAAGAATATAATCAATCTGATTTCGGTGTTGTCCATCTGGTGATGTCCATGTGTAGAGTCGTCTCTTGTGCTGTTGGAAGAGGGTGTTTGCTATGACCAGTGCGTTCTCTTGACAAAACTCTATTAGCCTTTGCCCTGCTTCATTTTGTTCTCCCAGGCCAAACTTGCCTGTTATTCCAGGTATCTCTTGACTTCCTACTTTTGCATTCCAATCCCCTATGATGAAAAGGACATCTTTTTTTGGTGTTAGTTCTAGAAGGTGGTGTAGGTCTTCATAGAACTGTTCAACTTCATCTTCTTTGGCTTTAGTGGTTGGTGCGTAGACTTGAATTACTGTGATATTGAATGGTTTGCCTTGGAAACGAACCGAGATCATTCTGTCATTTTTGAAATTGCACTTAACTACTGAATTTTGGACTCTTTTGTTGACTATGATGGCTACTCCACTTCTTCTAAGGGATTCTTGCCCACAGTAGTAGATATAATGGTCACCTGAATTAAACTGGTCCTTTCCTGTCCATCGTAATTCACTGATTCCTAGGATGTCAATGTTCACTCTTGTCATTTCCTGCTTGACTATGTCCAGTTTATGAGGCTGCATGGACCTAACATTCCAGGTTCCTATGCAATACTGTTCTTTACAGCACTGGACTTTACTTTCAACACCAGACACATCCATAACATGAGTGTTGTTCCTACTTTGGTCCAGCAGCTTCATTCTTTCCTGAGCTGTTCATAATTGTGCTCATTCTTCCCCAGTAGCATATTGGACACCTTCAGACCTGGGGGAAGACACAGGGAAGCCATTAGTACAACTCAATTTCTCCTAACAATATTGAACGTGCGTGGGACTTCTCTGGCAGTCCAGTGGTTAAAAATTTGCGTTTCTAATGCAGGGGGCACAGGTTTGATCCCTGGTTGGGGAACTAAGATCCCACATGCCTTATGGCATGGCCAAAAATAAATAAATAAATAACATTCGGTGGTAATGGGAAAAATAGAAAAACACGTTACCATGAGACCATTTCTGCTCCTCCCAATGACTGTGTTTTCTTAGTTTGTAATTGAGCTTCTAACAATTTGGTGATTAGATCATCTTGGAGAAGGAAGGCCACAGCACTTGAAGGGAACAGGACCCTATAAGGCCCTCCTGGATTAGACCTCTTCCTCCATAGCCTCTGCTTTAGCTCCTCTCTGAAGAACCCAGATGATTAGTAGCTGATGTATATTGTCTGAGTTTTTCAGATCCTGAAACTACCACCAAGTGGAAGAAAGTAACTACTTGATGATGCTGAGCACTAGCTCCAGACCTTCTAGCACCTAAAGACTGACCACCATCAAACAATCTGAGAATGCTGCCCGGCCCTTACCTAGCCTTTAAAACTGCTTCACTGAAACCCTTAGGAGCGTTCTGGGTTTTTGAGCATGCGCCACCTGTTTGCTTTGCTTCACCCTGCAATAAACCTTTCTCTGCTCCAGACTCTGATACCGTGCATCAGGCATGTGAAATTGCATTCGATGACTTAAATAGTTCTTTGTTACATTAACAGCAGTTCCTATCTTGGGGGTATTTTCCAAGTTAAAATAGCTTGCCCCAGGGCTCCCCTGTATTAGCTCACGGGGGACCTCTGGGGCACCTGCGCTGGTTTCTGCCCCTGTAACTCTCGGACCTTCTCTGACTAAGAGGCTGATTTAGTTCCATCACTCAAGCTAAGGCCCAACATGAGGTACATGTTCAAGCCTAATGGAAGAAAGGTTTGGACGCTTCTGGCTTTTAAGGGACGGAAAAGCAGCAAGCCTGAAAAGTGAGTGAGTGTGGATTCTAACCTCTGTTAATTGACTTTGAGGCACAGGCCACCTGCTGGGTCCAGGATTTTCTTTCTCCCTTTCAAGGCACTTTAGAAGGAAGATGGAGAGTAAATCAAGCCATGGGGTGGTCCCTATTCTCTTGGGAGGCCTTGGTGCTTTCTGTCCCTTGTCCACCTGCCTAGCCTTGCCAGTCCTAGAGCTCCAAGGCTGCCCTGTGAAGACCTGAGCCAGAGCCTAGGAGGCGGGAACTAAAAAGCCGCGGTACCAGAGATGAGGGAGCGGCGGGGCCGGGGGGAAGGAGGAGCCACGGGACCGGCGGGCCTAGCTCCAAGGAGGAGGCGGTGGCGGCGCGGGAATGGAGCCCTTGCGGGTCCTGGAGCTCTACAGCGGAATTGGGGGCATGCACCAGGCTCTCAGAGGTGAGAGGGCACGGGCGCCACTTCCATCTGCGAGTCGGAGCTGCTCAGAGTTCGGGCTTTAGGGCGGGGCGGAGCGCTGAGGCACTAGGGGCGGAGATTGGAGGGGAAACGTCTGTGGGGGAGGGGGCGGGGGAGTTGCTCGGTTGTCTTGGAAACCGCCCGCGCGGCGCCCTAGCTGTCCCTTGGCGAGGAGACTCCCTTCCTCCGCCGGGTCCGAAGGGCGGGAGGGGGTACCTGCTGGGAGTCCTGATCCGCAAGGCTTGGCTGTAAAGTCGAACCAAAATGGTGCCCACAGAGCGGGAGTGGCGAGCCCCCCGCCTTGTGCCAAACCCCAATTCTGAGTGAGGCTGTCACCCAGAGGCCTGGAAACTCGGGCCTTGACCCTCGAGGAACTCCCAGCGGGGAGGGGAGGACGCTGGGCAGGGTCCTGCTGGTGAGGACTTGGATCTTCCGAGTGATAACTGCCGCGCGGGGTAGAAGTTAGTGAACACTAAGTAGAACCGCACGGGAAGCCTGGAGAAAACAATCCTAGTCAGTTCTGATGGCTGAAAAGAAACATCTTGTTACTTCTGGTCTAGATACATTTAGGCGCCGGAAGAGCTGGGTTCAAACTTCGTTGAAACGTGACCTTAACGTTTTTGAACCTGTGTCTTGGTTTTACAATGTGACAAGTATTTCTTTCAGACATGAAACGTTGTGAGCATTAAATAAAAAGTGGTTAAAATGTTTAATAATGCCTGGTACATTGTAACCACTCAAATATTATAAATATTGTCCTCATGTACCTCTTGCATTTTGAGGTTTTAGATTTGTTTGGTGCTAAGTTGGAACTGCAAGGTTCATTTTGGCCATTTGCCCCTCTTCAGTTCTGGGTTCTATGCTAGGCACTGGAGTTGTAGAGTGACAAATAGACATGGAACGTGTATGTTTATTCTTAAATTACCATGACAACCACAAAACTGAAACCTCCCTGCTTCCTTTTTTAAGTACCAAGGGTGACATGAGACTAATACTATTAGATACGGACAGTATGTTTTAAGTTGAGCGCGTAAGTTTTCTAAGCATATATATTGAGTTTGAGATACTGGAGTGGGTTGCCATTTCCTTCTCCAGGAGATCTTCCCCACCCAGGGATTGAACCCTGGTCTCCTGCCTTGTAGACAGAAGCTTTACCCTCTGAGCCACCAGGGAAGTCTCTAGAAGAGATTAGTGATTATTAAATTTTTATTACCAATTATTTAATGGCTGTGTTCAGTTCTTTATGTAAAGTAACAGAACTTACCAGCAGGAAAACAAAACTAGCATTACTTGTGCTCTTAGTTAATTTTCTAAGATTGTCAGCATTTTACCCGCCTATCTTTGAAGCCCCTTAAAGGTTATTTAGTGGTGTAATTCAGCCACTCCTTAAATGTTGGATGTTAATCCACCACTGCCCCCCCCCCCCATTTTTTGCAAGTTTAAATGTGCTGCAATTAATTATTGAGCATTAATCTTGGTTTTCTCTTTAGCATGTTTTCTAGAAGTCAAATTAATTGATGAAAGACTGAATATGTGCTATTTGCTAAGTCAAAAATACTGAGAATTTTTAGACTTTTCGTGATATAACAGGTTGCTTTTCCGAGGATTTGAGTGCCTCTTTCAACTACATTTTCCTCAGGATTTGTATTACCCATTTTTAACCTTTGTGAATTTGTTAGGGGAAGTTGTATAATTTTAATTTGTGTTTTTTGGGGGTTAATGAAATAATTTGATATTTTCCCTCCTACTAGCCATTGCAACCTGAATTTGTCTATACATATTTCTATTACTACTGCTACCATCCCAAATCTAAGTTATATCATCTCTCACTTAAATTATTAAAATAGTTTCCCAATGGCTCCCTGCTTGCTTCCACTCTGCTTCCCTGCACCATCCTTTCTCCGTTTGGTAACAAAGTGATCTCTTACCTGGTAAGCTAGGTCGTGTCACTCCCTGGGGTCAGTGGTCTCCCTCTGAGGTTAGAATCAGTCCCCTCTTCATAGAAGGCCTGTGAGATCTAGCCTCTGTCCACCTCTTCAGCCTTGTCTGCCGCTCTGGCCTGCTTCTCTTTTCTAGACTTGAAGTTCTTCTTTCTCTTTGTTCCTCAGACCTTCAGAATTCCCCTTATGCTCTGGCCTTAGCTTTTGCTGTCGTCTCCACCCAAGTGCCCTAACCGCAGGCCCACGCTGCAGCTGCATTTTGTCTTCCACAGCTCAGTTAACATGTGGCTGCTGCAGAACAGCCTCACTCTGCTGACCCTGTGATCCCCAGTACCCTCCTGTGGCCTCTCTACCTGATGCTCCATCATCTTTTGACCTGAGGTTGGCGTATGACGAATATTGCTTCTTGTCTTCCAACATTCATTGATTTGATGTACTAAAGCTTAAAATTTTTCTGTAATAAAATATGTTGCTGTTTTCCATGAGGTTTTTATTAATATATAATAATGCAAACTAGTAGCAGTGGTGGTTAACTGCAACAATTACTAAGGACTTTTATATGTCAGGCCCTGTTTTAAGTGTATAATAAGCTAGTTAGAGGTAGAGTCAGTATTATAACCTAGATCTCCTGACCCCACCTGTTAACCATACAAGGCTGCCATTTTTTTCTGGTTAGATCCATTAATTGAATCTACATCTTAAATAACAATAAGAAGCAGCCAACAGGAATAAGATGGAATTTAAATTTTGACAGTTTTCTAGATACAGGTTATAGCTGATTTAATTGCAGTAAAATATACGTAACATAAAATGTGCCATTTACTCATCTTTAAGCATGCAGTTCAGTGGCATTAAGTACTATCTTTCCAATGCTGTGCAGCCATCAGCACTTCTGTTTCCAGAACTTTTTCATCATCACACGTGGAAACTGTACATTAAATGACAACTCCCATCTCCTTTCCTCCAGCACCTGGTAACCACTATTAAACTTTGTCTCTTCTGATTTGTCTATCCTAGATAGCTCATTAAGTGTAATTATAAATATCTGTCCTTTTATAGCTAACGTATTTCACTTACTGTAGTGTTTCCAAGGTGCATCCATGTTTTAGTGTATGTCAGTACTTCATTCCTTTTTACAGCTGAATAATATTCCACTACATGCATATACCATATTTTGTTTATCCATTCATCTGTTGATGGGCATGTGGGCTGTTTCCACTTGTGGACTATTATTGTGAAGAATAGTGCTATAAACATTGGTATATATGTATCTGTTTGTGTTATTGTTTTCAGTTCTTTTGAATATTTATTTACTTAGGAGCAGAATTGCTGGATCATATGGTAATTCTCTGTTTTAACTTTTTGAGGAACCACTAAATTAGTTTCCATAGTGACTGCACAGTTTTATATTCCCAAGCACAGTGTCTGAAGGTTCCAATCTCTTTATCTACACGTCCTTGACTTGTTATTCCTTTGATTTCTTTTTTTTTTATAATAGGCATCCTGATGGGTATGAAAAAATATCCCATTGTGGTTTTGATTTACATTTTCCCTAATAGAGAAAGAAGTTGAACATTTTTTCATGTTCTTATTGGCCACTTGTGTATCTTCTTTGGAGAAATGTCTATTTAAGTCCTTATTTTGGAATTGGATCTTTTTCTGTTGTGTGAATTCTGTATATATTCTGGATATTAATCTTTTATGAGCTATATGATTTGCAAATATTTCCTCTTTCATAACTGACTTTTATTGTGGTAGTTATAAAGGTTTATTTAATTTCTTTGGCAGCATGAGAGATTTGCCCCAAACCCCATGGACATTTTAATACCTTGATAAACATTTCTCATCCTTAGCTGTATATGCAGTATACTATTGTATTTTTGTAGTAACTACCCAGATACTTCTGTATCTTCTAAATTTCTTTTAATTTTATTTTGTATCTGTGTGTCCATATATTAACTTTGTCCTCATCTTGTGGTATTTTTATTTCCTCCTGTACACCTCTGGGCTTCCCTGGTGGCTCAGATGGTAAAGAATCTGCCTGCAATGTGGGAGACCTGGGTTTGATCCCCAGGTTGGGAAGATCCCCTGGAGGAGGATGTGACAACCCACTCCAATACCCTTGCCTGGAGAATCCCCATGGATTCGGTGGGGTCACAAAGAGCTAGACACGACTGAGCGATGAAGCACAGCATAGCCTCTAGCACAGAAGCACACTTGTGACAGGGTTTCTGTAGATAACTGTTGAGTCTATTATTGAATTGGTAATCATTCTACTATCACGCTGATAAAACCATAGTTTTCTTAGTCCAAATTTTTGTATGATACAGAATTCTTAGTTGTAAACCAGAGTCCACTCTCCAGCTAACATCAGCAGAAGAAAAAGTATTCAAAGACATTTGGGAGCCCACAGAATTTACAGGACATCCGAATATATCAGGTGAATAGGGAACTGCTCCATAAGTCATCACGCGGACCTCACAACTTTTACCAGTCACGCTGGGGACTGGATGTGACAAGTACCATCACACTTTTGCCCTGAAAGATGGATCTTGACCACTTCTCACATCAAAAGAGATGAGTTTTCTCATTTGCTCCCTCACACGGCTATTTCTGAAGTGAAGTCGTGTATGGATGCAATTGGTTGGTGGACATTAGATACCATTGCCAAACTAAGGAAGCCAGGAGAGTGCGTTCTGGCTCCAGTTTTGTAATGTGGCAAAATTCTGGAAGACATGAAACGCAGGCAAAGATTCTGGATGGCCACAAGCATGGCAGTGTCATGGCATCCTTTAAGACGCGTTTGCCCCTGCACAGGGACCCTGTGTTACCACTTTGGTATTTATGCCTGCATAGCCTGTAAAGTTTTGGCTAATGAATTCTCATTTGGCTAAGGAGAATCTTCCAAGTAACAGCATCTTTCAGAAAGCAGCGGACAAAGTTGTTTCATGAGTTATATAGCAGTGGAGCCTGCAAAGGCACCTGCAAATATAAATGGTTAGCAAATAAGAATCTTTTTTTTTTAGTATCAGGGAAGAGTAA